TTTACGAAATTTGTGTGGTTATTCCCCATGAGGAAAGCTACAGCCCGACTCACCATAGAAATTCTACAAACTCGTTTGTTTCAACATTTTGGTAATCCTATGAAATTGGTTTCCGACAACGGACCTCAGTTCAGGTCCCATTTATTCAAGAGGATGTGTTTCGGTCAGGGAATACACCATTTTACCACTTCTCCCTATTACCCCCAGCCCTCTCATGCAGAAAGATTTAACAGAAATTTGAAGTCAGCGCTCATTGCGTATCACGCAGAACAGCAAGACACCTGGGATCAGAACCTACGATGGCTACAACTAGCTTTCAACACTGCTCTCCATGAAGGCCATAAGGCGGTACCTTTCGAACTCATGTTTGGATTCAAACCAAATAACCCTTTGTCAAATGTTTGGAAAATCACTGATTTGTTACCCTCCATACCAACCCCGGATGTCAAAAACCTGTGGTCAGCCGCTAGACGGAATTTAAAGCGAGCCCACGAGAGACAGCGGGATCGATATAATCAAGGAAGAAAAGAGAACCCTTTCAAGATTGGACAACTTGTTTTTTGCTTAGCCCATCCCCTTAGTTCAGCAGTGGAGAAACGTGCTGGAAAACTGTGCTATAGGTGGACTGGACCTCTAAGAATTTCTAAATTTTTGTCACCTGTTACTGCTATGCTGGTCGACCCCACTACCGAAGAGAAGTTTAGGAAGGCTCATATTTCACATTTAAAGCCCTACACCGGGGATGCGATGTTTGATTCAGGAAGTGAAAGTAAATAAGAATAGTGTGTCTTAGGACTGATCACCCTCAAGACTACGTTCTCTCTGAAGTTTTCTACATCTCTCTCTATTCTATACAAACATCTATCAGCGCTGATAACCCCAGTTCACCTATTCTGGAAAACATGATGAAACTTCAGTTATCACTTGTTACCTGTTTGAAAATTTTGAGCCTGATGTCTCCTTTGGGGTGGGAGGTTGAGCCGTGTCAGTCGGCTCAGTTTGAGAAAGGAGAGTATTTCTTATAGTACATATTGCGGCAGAAGCACTGTACGCCGACGCTCGCCAAAGGCCGTGGGCGAGTCCACTTTGTCTTTACTCCCCTTCTTCTCCGATTTGCTTGGAGACGTTCTCTCTCTTTGAAATCGTCCACCAAGATTGACGTTCCAAATTTTACCGGCACTATGGAGACTCAAGAAAGAAGATTTTCCAAGTTCATTTTGTTCGACCTTCATAAAATGCAATTTTAAATTTGTTTTTGACACCAAGCCAGGTATGTCAAATCATTGTATTAGATTAATTGTCCGTTTTTTCATTTTTAAACTTAGCCATTTTTTCCCTCAAACATTTTGTCTGTTCTTGAAAGCGTTCACAAGAGATTTGTCCTTTTTCTCTATATTTGTGTAAAATGATGTTTATAATGTCTTTTAAAGTTGTTTAAATTGTTTAACTTGTTTTGTCAAATGTTTAAAATTGTAGTTGTCAAAAATTTTGTGCTTAAAGTTAGTTTTTGTCTGGTCTCAGACAGGAAAATTTCATGTTGGTGTTCAGGACACACGTGTTCGACTTTGGTAAATTTGTTGTTTTTAATTATTTGTGTTGTTCTGAGTCGTCATTTGTTTGTGTTTACAGGTTTTCCAAACTAAAGTAAAGTGAAAGAGTTAGTTTTTCCTTTTAACAAAATCCACAGGCTAGGCCTAGGCTGGAAATTGTATTAGTATTAGTAACAGAAAACTGAATGAAAATATGTATTGTTTTGTTAAGCCAAGAAAAGCAATAGAGATTATTTGTTTAACCATGACTAACAGAGATTTAAATTTTTACTTAAAGTGTTATGTAAATTTAGCTCTGCCGTAAACTCCCGAAAGACCAAGTCTATATTCCTTGAAAGGGTTAGGTTTGATAATATTCTGAAATACTGATTATTTTCAACTTTTAAGTAGGCCTGTGTAATTTTAAAGGGCTCCTGTACTGGACCGACAGCAGCGGACACATCATGCCTCCTGATCCTGACCTAGTTCGGAGCAAGAACTAGTCCCCCCCGGACTAAACCAGGCCTAACCACAACCAACTCGCAGCGGAAGGACTTCACCCAGAAACATTCTACGAGAACTTTGGCCTTCTTCACCTCTACAAACCAGGTGCTATCTACTCCATGTTATCATTATTATTCCAACGTTTGCATTCAGCCTACCTTCAAGAACAGTTCATTTATATCAAGTTTTTCCCCAATTTAAAGTTTTACCGTTTCAATTTCTTAAACTCTGTAGCCTAGCAAATTGAGCTTAGTGTTTCCCTAACTAGGCCTACTTCTTATTTCTGGACTAAACTACAGACTAATAATCCCCTTGTGTTTTACTGTTTCAAATTAAATGTTTTTATTTCGCTATCGCTGCGAGTTGAGTTGTGGAACTGGAACTAACAAAAGTCAACAAGAATACATTATTTATATCACGGGTCTACGAGTTTTTTTTTAAAAGCTACAAGAATTCATGTATTTAGTAGGGTGTCACATTTCCTTGTTATTTCATTATTTTGTGTATGTACCATGTTATGTTAGTAATAGGCTAAAAATTTCTGTTCTAACGGGGAAACTTTCGGCCCAATTGTTCTAAATTTCATTTCGGTTCACGCCAGTACTAAATTCTTCCCCACAATTTTTGCCATTTTAAAAATTCTATTTCTTACTGTTTAAATTAAAATTCTATTCTGATGTTAGTGTATATTTGTGTATAATTGTCTTATGTTGCTATTTAAATATTTTCATGTCAATGTTGAGTGTAATTTTGAACTGTAAGGTTGTTCGAACGTTTTTCTTTAAACGCAACTTGTTATTGATATTTTGGTCAAATACTATTTTTAAATGATTTCATTGTAAGGTCATTTCAATTCAACGTCTGTTTTATGTAATATTTTCAATTTCTTGCCTTTTAAGATTCATATTTTTAAATTTATCATTGTCCTAAACCTTTTCCGAGTAGGCCTAACCTAACTTAAAGTAAGGATTTTCTTCTAGTTACCAGCTTGGTCCTTAAACTTAAACTTGAACTTCAACTTTTGGTAAAGTTTATATATACATAAATGTTTTAAATGTTTTGGTAAATGATTTAGGCCTAACACTGGTATTGATTTACATTCTAAGCCTTGTACCAATTTGTATATATTATTTCGCTGTTGTTTAAAGGCGCATATTTGTTAATATTTTTAATTGAGTTGGTAATAAAAGATGTTAATCACTTTTCAGTTGTATTTTTTGAACACCTGCAGATCTCTCATGAGCACAGAATCTTGGTAAAAGTTCCACGTACCATTTTGGGGTCTGGGAACTCAGTCATGTTTCAGTGTGTAACCATGTTTATGGACGGTAACTTGGTTAAGAGTGAAAGTAAAAGCACATCGGGGAACGGAACCTCCAAATAGATAATTAACGTGGAATAATTAAACAATGGGAAGCAGGAGCAGTTTATCACAATCATCTGTTATTTATTACATTCTGCCTCTCACAACATCCCCTTCCTCATTATCTAAAAAACATACACTTTTTCTTCAACAGTTTCTTGAGAAAACCCCCTTCTTTATTAATACAACAAAAGGATAGATTTTTGGACGTTATATTTTTCTAAGAATTTTTATTATTTTAAGAGAGTTTGTTTGACTACATGTTTGATGCAAACTTAAAATTTATTTTTGAACTAATAATTGAAAAAAACCTTTCGGGGGATTGAAAACAAGACATTGGCCTAGCTATATGTAATCTAACTACAAAGAAAATTTTCTTGCTATTACTATTCGAGTCATAGTTCATTTTATAATCCGTTCGGACTTCAAGTTTTACATGTTTCATTGAGCAAACATGAAAACAAAAAAGCTTAAAACTAACCAGCTGAACACTATCAAACACGATATTATTGTGCCATGACAGATATATGTAGATGAGGAATAAAAATATTGCAACAATTCCGTTTATAATTTGATAACATTTTTGTTGATTTTGATCTATGTAGCGTTCTCGATGTATATTAAGTTGAGTATACAGTATTTGTTTTATGTTTTTTTTTTTATTTACAAGTACACAGCATCCCTAAAGATATCTTTACAATATAATATTATTAATGACTCTACAATTATTAATAGTCTAACATTAAAATTAAAATTGAGATTACGAGAAAAGTTTTTAACAAAAATATGAACAATCGTTAACTTATAACGCCAGATAAGCGTTTTAATTCTCCACAAGTTTTATTAAAGTCGGTAAATTACAACCCTATTTAACGCAACAAAATGCTAATAAAACATAATTAAGAAGTGTTGGAAGCGTATTCTGTTGGCGGCTTTTGTAATTAGAGCTCTGTAATTTACCCTCTCCGCTGCCTGGTGATTTGTGGCGTAGTTTTAGTATCCTGTTTCGTTAACGTCAGCGGCGATTTAAATACCTCTTACGACATTTAAAATTTACAACGCTGCCTTATGTCCTTTATTTTAATGACACTATCTCCAAACATGGGTATTAGTATTTTAATCATAAAAAAATGTTCTCTCTAATAATTATTTGTTCCATAATCTATATTTATTCAAACGATTAACAGTATGTCAATTTTAGCTGGATACATGATTATACATATGCCGTTTATTATACTATGATAATTATTATGGCAATTTGTTAAAAATGATTGTGTCATTCACGAGTTTGTCAGGTCAGGTTACATTGGACGCCTATTGACTACTAACGAATATGAATTTATCATTGATTTTAGGTAATTTTAATGTTTCCGATCGATGTTCAACTCCTTTTAATTATATTAAATTATCAAATTTGGAACATGAAATGTAAGACATGTGATTAAATATATTGTACTGCAAAAATAGGTTAATAAGATCGTGCTATTTGAGAAATTATTTGACAATTCTCATTATTCTACTCAGTGTTTTCTTTGAATGCATTTAAGAAAATAAATGTCGGTTTGTGAAATATGTTTTACTATATACATTCTACAAAATCTTACCTTGAAACTCCTTCCTCGCCGCACTGACGCTCGTGACAATGTTCGCCACGTGACCCAGGACCGTCGCGAACAGCAGGAGTCCGAAGAGCAGTTGGAGGATGACGAACAGGTACTCGCCTTTGCTGCGAGGCCGCGGCAGGTCCCCGATGGTTGTCAAGGCGAGAGTACACCAATAGTAGCTCTGGAGGTACTGTTTCACAACATCAGCACTCTCACTGTCCATAAACACCCAGTTCTTGCTGCCAAACCCGTTGTTCTTGCAGACGATGTGGAACAGACACCCGTTCCAGTGGAAGATCACGAGGAGGTAGTGGATCAAACTGGTCGATCTGAAGAGGTTAGGGTAGTTCGTGTGTCTCTCGGTCCTATCCATGAAGGCCCAGAACCTGTAGATCTTGACGAGCCGGAAGGAGCGGAGGATGCTGTTGAAGCCTATGGAGAGATAGAGGAAGTCCAACGGAAGCAGACAGAGACAGTCGATGTAGAAAGTGGTGGAGTTCATGTAGTGATGCCTCAGCTTAGTCGAGTCTGTTTGTAGCACTCCGTCCTCCAGATAGCCCGTGCGGAAGTGGAACATGATGTCGACGAGGTAGAGGAGGTCTGCGAGGTAGTCGAGGCAGAACCAGACGAGAATCGAGTCTCCTGTAAGGCAAAAGAGTTTGTTTAATGATGGCCAAATACTCATATATGTAAAATTGTTATGTGGTAGAGATATTTTAATCAAATTTGAGATTTTTCATTCCGTACTAAGCTATTGCCATTTTACTAAAACTAATTTTTTATCCTCCCTTTAGCAGCAAACCTAATTACTAAAAAAACACCTAGTTCCAGTTAAAAAAGGAATAAATCTGACATTTTAAGGTTAAGGTTTTTAAGGTCTGACATTACTTTGGTTTAAATCCAAGCAGGCTAGTGGAAATTCGCCTACTATGCAAGTTTGCTTCGGTGGGGGTTTTTTTCTTGCTGTCTACGCGAATTTTACTCCTCGTATAAGAGTCCTAGGCTATTAATCTCATTTATAAATAAAAAAATGCAGATTCAACTTGAAAATCCGTGTTTAACAAATATGCCATAAAAACCTCTGATGATTTAAATTCCTAACAGTAACACAAAATATAAAAAATTAAAAAAAGCTTAAACGTGAACGTCATGGAAAATAAAATTTGTATTAACCAGGTCTAAAGAATTGCTACATAACCGTCGGCTAAAAAGCTATAAAGCTCAGATTGGCCTAGCAACAATCAGTGCTACCCTCATTTTGCTGTCCTAATGACTTTCATGTGACCTTTGACGGTTTCAATTCGTTCTAAATAATTTAATTTGAGTCTAAAAGCACAAGCCACGCAAATTATAGAACCAATTTATCAATAAATGTTCGTAGACTGTATAAGAAATACTTATTTGTTACAAATTTCAACGTTTAAATTCCAATTACTGTTATTCTTTTAATCACACATGACTTTTAACTGTATGACCTCATGTGATACTAATTAAATGTTTACTTTCTGTGAACATGTTTTGTCGTTTCGTCAAAAGGGAAAGTTTGCATAAAATATTATCAACGTTTGCAATCGGATAACTTTTGAGTTAGGTAACAGACCATTTTGTTATGTACAAGAGTGAGCTAGTCCAGTTGTAGAGCACTGCTCTTTAGTCCTTGAAGTCCCGAGCTCATATACCACCAATGGGTTTTATGAAATAATGTCGTAACTCTATGACGTAGCCTGAAGTAAATTGTCAAACTGTTCCATGGTAGCAATTCTTAGAATGTGAAGTTGGGACATAAACATTGTTTTTCACATCTGATATTGGTGTTTGCACTAGTTTACTACATAAAAATATCAACGTTCCATTGCTGATTTGGATGGCTTTAAAGCGTAATGCAGCGTATGATCATCAAAGGACCGTGATCATATTTATAATGACGTCATCAAGCTGTGATGGTTTGTGCATCATGATAATCATACCGTCCTCAACAGATAATGTTCTATTTATGGACGTTCTCTCATATTATCCGATCGTTTACTCATCAATCTGTGCCACCCCAATGAGCTGTAAGGGAATAGAATCTTGTATCAATTCCAAAGCTCTGATTCCGACTGTTAGTTTTAAATCAATTATCAGAAATTAGAATATTTGTACACTCATTTGTTAAACTTAAGTAAGTAGGGATGGATTATAACTTTAAGGTATGTTTTATAATCCATCCCTACTTAATTATGATTATTTACACAGGGGTATAGTGCATTTTAGTTTCTGAGCTTTCATTTAAGGTTATAAATTTTAATTTGGTTTATTTATATATCGTTCCGGAGTAAAGTAAATGATAAATTTCAATATAATGTATTCTAATTTTTTATACTTTTTGCCAAACGGTTCGTGGTTATGAATAAATATTAAATATGATTACTACAGTTTTATAAATATAATTTACTAAATTACCTGGTTTGTAAATGATAATTTAGGATAATAGATAGCAAAATAAATTTACGAATATATTTTAGTAAGCTAAGAAATAGCAAAACTCCCCACTGTTCATACTAAAGGAAAACTGAGAAAAGAATGGCGTACAGTCCAAATGGGGGAGTACAAGGATTCAATTGTTCAAACCAGGGAAATATTTAAATTATTTTGACATATCCATTCAAGGATGTATAAGATAAGATTAACATTTTTTAATGAAGTATGATATTCATTGTGAGCTTTAATACTATGATTAGGTTTGTAGCTGTGATCGTATTTTGTCACTGTATAGTAGGCCTAAGCTTTCCATATTAAAATCCCAGAAAAAGTCATGAGTCGCAATTTTTTAGTTATTGATACAATCAAAAACTAAAATGCTGGGAAACCAATTGCATTTCTTTTAAACACTTCTCGTATTTATTGGACATTTCGGGTTTTCGAGGAAATCAGTTATAAAATGAAAGGCCACTCTTTTATATAGAGGTTGTCGACGATGTGTTAGAGTTTATAATAGGCCTACGCTTTCCTGTCGCAGAAAGCTCATTAATTTAAGTCATCAGATAGGTTGACCAACCAGCAAATCATTCTGGCCACATGAGCTCATCAGAGTTTGTGCCTGATCAAAGTAATTTGACCATCCGTGCTAGTCACATTATCTCATTCCAACATAAACTAGACACTGATTTGTAGAACATTCTGCTTGGAGCTGTACTGTTTGCCGTTGCCCATAGCACTAGTACATGCTGTAATTAAGTAATATGTTATTTATTGGTCACGGATCCGTTTAAAATGCGAATCTAGCATGTGGCAATGAACTATTTAAGACAATCATTACTGATCGCCTGAAATATCAATTGCTTTAACTTGTACATTCATAAATAAGAACATTAGCATTTTGGAAGTTAAAAGCTGGTCAAAACGATTCTATTATTAATTTATAAAACACGTTAAATTAAGGTAGTAGTAGGAGAAGTGCCAAACCTAACCTGACAACATGTCAACGAATTGCACAAGTTTTATCGAGCTATTTTAACGTGGAAGAAAATATTTAATTCTTTAGACGTTTTGTTGTTGTTTTTTATAGGCTTCTGTAAAGACTCCTATACTCTTAATTGTGAGTCATATTTGCAAAATAAGACTCAATAAAAAATGTTTATGTTTTAACCCTACCAATACATTTAGAGCACTTTTACTATTTTAATATAAATCCTTGTTCCTACATAATTAAGTTAAATGGTAGCAAAACAAATTAAATTATAATGATGGATGAAAGTTTCCCTGCCAAAATTATTCATTTAAAAAAGTTTTTTAAAACCAATATTGCATTTCCTATTATTTTTATGCTCTAATAAAATAATGTTTTAAATTTGCCCAATTTAAATTAAATAAATTACTGCTGTGTTCCATAAATAAACCATCCATTGTTTCACTTTACCACGTGAAACCTAATTAACACTCATTAATTGTTATTTATCGGTTAGTTAAAATTTTACCCTGTTTTAGTCAAACCTAGTGTTGTAGGAACAGGGTTGTGCGTATGGTTTGTGGTTAACCAAAGTAGCACGATCAAACTTGCATTACGGTTGAAATGAATACCACATTTCAAAGTAATTAGTTGATTGTTGAATTGTAATGTTAATGATGTAATTCTACTGTTTACCTTTGTAGGTTTTCAATTTTGGTAATTATTCACATAATTTATATTCATACAACAATGTTATAACAATGTTTATACAGAAATATTTTTTAAATGTTTGTACGTATTTCACACAAAATCCTAAATCAGATTCAATGAAAATTATTTAAATTTATTCATCACATACATTAGCAGTGTATTGGGTGAAGCTCAACAATGTATCGTGTATAATCTCATCAAATGCAAATACCGTTCATAACGAATAGATAAATAGCAAAATGTAACTTTTAAAAAGGTCAGCCTATACCTGCCAACGAAATTCACATTGACTACAATGATCCTATTAAATCTGTTTAATTATATTCGATATGATTTTCAATGAAACCAGTTAAGATTAAAGAGGACCCTTTTCGTTATAAAATTTACCATAGTAAAATTGTTCTTAAATTTGCCTTGAATTTGCAAGGAATTTTTTTCACAAATGGTATTTTATTTAATCCTGGCAACACGGTAGTAAGTACCCTACAATTTCTGGACGGAGTATGGGTATACAGCTTCGTTTGAAGTAGACTCATCAAAGAACCACGTTGACGCCAAAGCTCTGTGACAATTTAAGCGTTTGATGACTTTTGGCCACCCTCATTTTCAAGAGAACCTATTTATGGACATTTATATTCATCTCTAGCTCGTTTGGTTATGGAATACATCGTTACACAGTTATTTATATACATGTGTTTGCCTCATTTTGTTGTAATGAACTACCCTAAGGTAATGTGAATTCTAATCACACATTTAAATAGTTATCCTGATTCGTTACAAATCATTCAGATAATAAAAAAAATAATACTAAATCGGTTACAATTTATTGCAAAATACTTCTACGGATTTGGTCAACCATTGTATTATTTTTAAATTGTTCTTCACCATACTGTTTTTACAGCTAAATTCAGCCTACCGGTTATAGCTCATCGCACGAATTTTAAACAAATTATACTATATTGTTTTCTTCTAAAACTAAACTTGAAATGTGAAAACTATTTCAAGAAATAAAAAGTAAAGAAATCTGTTACATTTTGTATAAACATTTACTATTTGTTATAGGATTCAATCACTATCATTTATTTATCCTAAAAATTGTTGTATAGTAATATTTAATATGTTGTACTAACTTACAATATTGAAATTGATTTTATATATGAACATCAATTTTTCAACATGAAAATTTAGGAGGCTGAAAAAGAGCTAGCAAAGAACTTAAGTAAAAAGCAATACTGTTCCCAGATAACATTTTCAACAAAATGTGCATTACAGTTTCAGTTAATCATACAAATCGTGAGTCATGACCTACTATATATAGAATACTTTTAGGTTTCATAGCATTCCCCATTCTTTTGTTGTAATGATATAAAATCAAATAATCTTGATGGTAAAGAGCAAGTTATCTAAGGTAGAAAATTGTTTCTAACCAATTGACGTGGAAAATTCCAATCGCAATTTTAACACCATCAAAACGTAAAAGCAGAAACACTGCAAAGCTCTTTTAGTTTTCATATACTTTCTCCGCTCTTTCGCTCATCAAAGTTCATAACTTCATTAGTGCTCACAAAGCCGGGCCTCTACAGCTGCGGGGAGAGTGGAGACTCCGAGAGATGTAAGTGGGAGGTTTCAGAGGCTCATCAACTAGTGACGTCATCAGCCTTTGATAATCCCGCTAATCTCCCCGCGCCTTTAGTACTTTTCACCAAAGCTTCTGACATCATAGTTGACATAAATAGATTTACTTTCAATGGCCTTTTTTCACACAGCATAGCCAAATATTAAGTCACCTTTAGTACTTTTCAGAAAACCTTCCTGATACTATAATTACTATAATTAGTAAAAAAGCGTAAACTTATGGATAGATAAGTAAACTTTGAGTATCCTTAATAAGTGTTCACACATATTCGACTTTTAATAAAATGTCTTGATATATTTGTTGTCGATGCTTTTATTATATTACTATAATTTCCTCTAAGATATTTTGAATTGTTTATAGACATATTGTAGAAAAGTATACATATACTTATATTCCCAAATCTTTTTCAACTGTTCATCACAAATCAAGCCTAAATCATTTAATTTTACTAAGATGAAACATTATTTTCTCCTAGTTTCAAAAGAAACGCAAACAACCAAATTTGTTTTCGGGCGGAAAAAATATTACTCATAGCATTTGTAGTCAAAACTGTGAAATAAAGGGCGATATAGTTGCATTATGGTGGATAATTTTTGGTGGTGTTTGCTATTCATACAATATGTTATAAAATATATTTGTTTCATAAACTATTTACCTGTTAACTGTCTCTACAGGTTATACAATTGCAAACTGTTATTAGTATTCTATTTAATACTAAACGTGTTTATAAATTATATGTAGAATTACAATATTGTTTTATACCTGTAAGAATATACAACTATAATTTAAAAACTATGCCCAGTTTGAATAGTTATGAGATATAAAGATTTTTCGAAAATAAACTACAATACATCGTACAAGTTAAACGAGCTAAAGGTTTATCATAAAAAGATCTTGTAATAGAAAATAAATGTCTAAACAATTGTAATTATTATATTTGAACAATTACCTAGCTGTTTCAAACTGTGGCTGATGTACTTGACACAATCCGAGGCTGGCATGATATTGGGAAACCACAACTACAATCTCACAAACATATATCGAATCGTATACCGGAATATCGGGAAATCTGTTTGTTTTGACTTTCATTGTTCTATTACACTTAATTATTTGTCAATGGTTTATATTTGAAAATAAATATTACTTTATCATTGCTTTAATGTTTCTACCGATATGTTTAATTTAAGAAGCAACGCTTAAATGTCAGGGGCTTTATTATCAACCTAGAACCCATACATTTTTCCTGCTTCAAATTAAAATAATATATATGTTTTTTTTTTACTTAGAAGAGAAAATTAAGGTAATATATTATTCGTTACAAAAAAAAAACTAAACGTGCATCTTTTACAGGAAATCAATATGAACTTCTGTTGGGTTGACATAAAAATAAAAAAAATACGATAGATACAATTTTTGGAAAGTTTGCAGTTATTTTTTCCTTTGAATAATTTCTTAATTGCCACATACACAAAACGAAAAAAAAACAGTACACAAAGTATGTCTCAGGCTTAATGAAGAATGTTTATCACAACAAGGAGTTCTATTTTAATCCCGATAGCCAACATGGTATGCGTTGAAGTGAAGTAATATCAAGGCTGGTCATATCACTTTAATCATGCCACAAACATCAATCCGATGAGTCTGGTCGCCAGCGGTTCAGTGGTTGGCCCGACTATTGAATGGGGCACTCAGCAACCAATCACTTTGAATCTGACAGTGGTTAGGTGGATACTGTGTAGAAGATAAAAATCTTAAAAATACAAAGCAGAGTAAAAATATTTTGCGCAGCAACGCGCGCCTGGAAGCTGCTATAATCTATACAAATTATTTTAATTTGTAAATTTTATTATTTTTAACCGTTTTTACTTATCTACTGCTACATAACTAGACTTGGCTTTACTATTTGGCTATGCTGTGTGAAGAAAATGCCATTGAAAGTAAATCTATTTATATCAACTATGATGTTAGAAGCTTTGGTGAAAAGTACTAAAGGCGCGCGGAGATTAGTAGGATTATCAAAGGCTGATGACGTCACTAGTTGATGAGCCTCTGAAACCTCCCACTTACATCTCTCGGAGTCTCCACTCTCCCCACAGCTGTAGAGGCCGGGCTTTGTGAGCACTAATGAAGTTATGAACTTTGATGAGCGAAAGAGCGGAGAAAGCACGAAAATATGTTGCGGAATCTCTTTTCACGTTTTCATGGTGTTAAAATTGTAATTGGAATTTTCCACCTCGATAGGTCCAACACCTTTTTCACACTTGGATAACTTTCTCTGAAAGCAATTTTTTATGTTCTTTTAGATGAACATGGAATTGCACTACACATATCTCGTGTAATTAAAATTAAGCTGGAGTGTATAGTTCATGTGTTTATGAGATAAATTTTCTTTCAAAATACTTTCACCGTGATTTACATCTTTTGGTTTGAAAACATTATTCAAAAACATATAATGGATCATAAATTTAGTAAAGTAACGACTTTAACCTGAATAATTATAACATTGGCATGATTATGACATAACTACTGACTGATAAAAAACTCTGCAACAACATATTGATCTCATATTCAGTGAAACGAAATAGCCTACTATTATTTATCCCTTTTAACAATACACATAGTGATCAAGCAAAGGACAGCATGTTAACCATTGCAAATTTTCTAGGTTAAAAGCTGTCGTGTTTGTGGGATAGGCATATCTGGGCATTTGCCTTTGCTTAGCCATGAGACAAGTGTAGATCAACTACAGTATGGTCCTCGAGAGTCTGCAGTTGAGGGAGGAGCCTATTTACCACGTGACTTCGAAAGAGCCAATGAGGGCCGCGCAGTGTTGCCAAATCTAATAGTAGTTGGTTTAAAACATTGTTTAGTACATTTTAATTAGTAAGCGTCAAAAATTAGTGAACGGGTGATGTTGCGACGTCGAGCTGGTCCAGTCTTGTTATTGGCTGCCGCCAAATGCAGACTCTCGTGGAAGATAGTGTAGTTATGTTTTCATGGCTACCCCATTGAATAAGGTATTTAACTTAACTATTAATATCAAACTAATAAATACAATAATTATCCAATCTATCCATTAAAACATCATAAACACAACTTACTATTAATTTCCTGGAAGGCGAACCTGTAGATGATGACCCAGAAGTTGTAGAGGAAGGCGAGAGACACGACCATAGACCAGTAGTAGCAGAGACGACCAGCGGGGTCGAACACGAAAGACCACTTGTGATTGGTCCGTACCCTGGGTGGGCGCCGGGTGTTGTAACGGGTCTCGGTGGACGTCACCGTGCCGTTGATGTTCCCGGAGGAGTTCCTGGGGCCGCCAGTCCACCGGGAGGTCTCGGTCTGTGCCACGGAGGCAGGGAGTTTGAGGCGACCTCGGAGGTCGCGCCGGCGAACCTTACGACTGAGGTCGAGCTCTGAGGCCGACGAGACTGCTGCTCGGTTGATGTATGCGGCGGACAAGGAGTCTCGCGAGGAGGAAAAGTATCTCTGAAACATAGTTAGGTGTTAGAAGAGAAGAAGTAAAAATTAAATTCCATCAGAGAAAACATCTTGGGAGGGATGTATGCCTGGAAAATATTCAGTATTAGTTGGTTTATGGAACATAAAGTAATTGGAGAAGTATCTTGGTGACAGATACATTTTAAGAATGGTTTTCTGAATATTTCCTAGTTTTGGATGAGAACCGTCAAAAATATATCACATTAGGTGATGCGAGAAGTATTTAACCAAATTGGGTGTTAGATGAGAATCATCCCTGGAAATATTATGCACTAGAAAAGTGTATTCGGGACTTAATGTGTAATGGATGAAAGATATTTCTACAACATTTTTATTAAGTGTTAGAGGAGAATTACCATTGTCAATACCGCTGCACTCGCCATCAGGACTATTATTGAGTTTTCCTCGGCCAGGGACACACTTACCGGCGAAACCGCCGGACGCCGGATCCGCCGGCACTTCTATCCCGGAGGAGGACGTTATAGTTAAATATAATTTTGGCAGAACGCAGGTTGTTGGTAAATGGAATAGTAAAAAGTGTATTTTAAAAAGAAAGATAATAGTGGTCTAGTTTTGTTGAACAACAGAATGTAATTGAAATGTGTTTACAAAATATATATTAACAAAAAACAGCTGAACATATGAACAGCAAGAAAGATAAATTAATATTTTAATAGTCAAATGTAAATTAAGTGTAAGTATAATGAGTGGTAACATTTTCCACCTCAAAGAACTATGTATTTCTCTACAGTTTACAGCTTTGTATTGTTTGTTGTTTTATTATTCTGCAACCAGACTTCATGATATTAGTTTCGAAAAAGTAATTTCACTGTAATCAGGACATTGTAGGACTGTTTATTACGAGGATAATATGAACGGCATATGCACATGAATTATGGGCCTGTATAATTAGTAGGACATAGGCCACTGGGTTAATTAATGCAGTAAGAGGTCAGTTATGCCCATAGGATTATGACTGTTTGACCCATAATAACCTCCCTAATGTGCGTTCTATAGTCGTACAAAATTGACTACAACTAAATTGGAACAAGGAAAAATCCATGATATATTTTTTCTATGCCTTGTTTATTAATATTTCGTAAAATACAGTAGCAGAAATATAGAGTTCATACTAACAAACTGGTCCAAATAACAAGCAATCCGAAGTTGACGTTCTATCTATCTGAATCTAGCATGTCAATATAAAATCAAACAACACAATTCACTTAATTACTTCATAATTTACTAAATATTGCATTGTCCAACAGTCATCTTAACAATAAATGTTATGTATTATATCTGTTAGTTTTGAATTCTACATTTAGTATTTTGCCTTCGCATATTCACTTCCATCCAACACCTTGACCTTTGATAAGTCACACTAGAGACAAATATATAATTTGTACAGTACAAGGTTAGATTATCATCCAATAAGAAAGAGCACCTGGTCATCAAAAAACAATTGCAGTCTATAAACATTTTTAAGCTAAAGGGGATTGCTTTCTTATGTCTGGCTGGTAGGCTTTTCGTCACTGGCAGCTGCTTGTTGGAACTTATTCTGTCTCTTAAAAATGTCTGTTATGGCACGAGAATTGTTTCTAAAACTGGCCATAGTGTTTTTGTCACATATCTGTTCCTTTTTTTACTGTCTACACTAGTAGAATTTTATATGAAATAAACCAAAAAATCTGTTCATAGCTGTCAAATTTTCTTTTGTTATGCCGGGGATAAAACCCGTCCCTCTCCTAGACATTGAATTGCTGGCTAACATGATATGTTTCTGTTTAATTGATGGGGCTTCTCAAAGCTGATAATTTAATTGGTTGCTCCCTTAAGAGTACTTGGAGCCTAGACGTTATAGCTCATAGCACAATTAAAAAAAAAAACTACAAAGACAATTTATAATCCCAAAGTGTACTAGATAATTAAAATATCATCACTTTGGCGTTTGAAAAAATATTTTTGGATTGTTAATAACTCTTCAGCAGTTGTTTAAAATCATCCAATATGGCGCTATCCTTCATGGACTCTTAAGCAGTTAATTTCATAAGTCCTTGATTCCAATGGACCTGCTACCGATTGCTCAATGAGCTAATAACTATTTTGGGTGCGCACATAAACCTGATACCATTTGCTGTATTGCAGGTCTAGGCCATCTGGACCTGACCTTTACATTCCGGCGGAACTGGCACTTTTGCTCAAGTGCTTGTCTTATATTTGGTTATCTAGACCTGACCCTGTTTGCTTGGTAGAGCTTGTAATTGTTCTGATTGCTCACCTGGACTTGACGTTGCTTGACAAGTACAACTTGTAATAATTCTAATTGCTTACCTGGACTTGGTGCTGTTTGCTCCTGCCGACGCCGAGCCTGGAGCTGACTATGTCCAGCAGGCTTTGTCGAGACACGGACTTGAGCGCCCTGCTGGGCTTGAGCGACTCGTTGCTGCTGCGGTTGCCGCCCGACACGTAGGCCACTGGGCTGCCGGTGTCAAGTCTTGTACCGGATGCGCTCAGACGCTCCCCGATCATACGCCCGGTAGACGTAATAATACCTGCAACGACAAAACAATAAGTATATCAACAATTACACATTGTACAGCTATTGTGGGGTCGATTGAATCTAAATTTTAACATAGAAGTCAAAATAGAATTAACGCTGTTACCATGAGAAATTTGCGCCACCAATTATTAAGCCTCCCCACGACGCGTGGTAGGAAGATACCACGAATGTCCTTGATTAGTGAACGGATCGTTGAATTTGCGACCCTTTGCGGACACTGTTCTCACTACGCATGTTGGTTTGTAAATTTCAAGATCCACTGATGGCTAGAAGAAAGAGAACATTTCAGAGTGCACCCCCCCCCCTCCTCCAAAACGCAAGCCAATGCCCTTTGATGTTTCATGAGTTTAACGACTTGGATAAACCGGAACGATCCGGAAATAAATAAACCACCGCTACATGGACCACGGACGTGATGTTCCCACGATGCGTATTCGTATTCATACGAGCCCTTATGATCAAGGACATCCGATCCATGGTATCGCCCTGCCACGCGTCATGGGAACGAGGCTTAACACAAATTCACAATGAGACTTGCTTAGCTTTATAATAATTCTTTATTAATATTTGGATAAAGACACGCCCCAAGGTTCGTATATTAAATGGTAGTAGTAATAATAATAATAATAATACTTCCGATATGCTAACGGTATTTACTTTAAAAAACATACTTCTCAAAAAAACGTATTTTCTTCATAAAACCATAGCCCAAGGAAATGTTTTTTTAAGATTTAAAATATTCATCCATAAAAATATTCAATATAAGGGGAATATCCATGGCAGTAAGCCCACCTACGTTTTACATCATTACTCAGTCGTCGAGTCGTCAATAAATAATTAAATGCGTGAATTTTTTTTTAACCTTAGTGAAAATAACCCTTTACTACAACCACTGAAAATAGCATATTAGTCAATGCTACAACACATATGATATACTTTTTATCAGTATAAGATCACCCTCTAAATGTTTTTTACATTTTCATTGTTTTCTCGACGTTCTGTAGGTAGTACTGTATAGAGTGGTATAAAAGGGTATAAACACAGCCACCTCTAATACTAGAGAAGGCTATGATACAAGGCTAGATGCATTACACTTGTTATTGTTACAGAATGCTATATGCGAGAGGCTAAAGGCCAGTTACCTCGCGTCCGTGTCTATGTCTGTTGTCATGGCAACCATGACGTCACCTGTTGAGCCGTGGGACTTTGTCAGCCTCCTATCGATTCACTTCCGGGACCACTTCCGGTATTTGAGTGATCCGCTATTACCAGCTTGTTACATGGCCTTTTCATTACACCTCTCCTGTTGCCATGTGATCCCTTTAACGTCCAATTCCCAAACAATTCCAGTGGTGTTAAGGACTTGTTCACATCGATTGCTCTTGTGCTGTTTACATTGCATTTGGTTTATGTTTGAGGGGATTGTTTCGTACCACCTACAGTATTGCAATCTAGGACAGTTATATACTTGGCTATTATTTGCTATGTCTGGGCCGATGAAGACTAGCACTGTTGGTGTACAAAAGGAGAATATGGTGCAAAGTAATACATAAAGAAATTTTCAATTATGATGAAATCTTTTTGCATATATTTTTTGAACGAAATGATTCTTTCAAAGGGGAGTCATAACGTATTTTGGGCACATGATTCTATAAATGTGGGCTTTTAGGGAAGATTCTTATAATAAACTATTATTTTATGATTTTTATGTATGGATAACTATTATAATGTCGTTTATTTTTATATAGATAAAAACCACAGATCTTTAAATTCGTCAAAAACGGCTAAAAACTAATAGGCCTATTGTTACGCTTAATGTTCTACTCTTACAACAGAAAAGTTATGTATTATAGAATTGTAGCAAGATACAAAGCAAGAGCCAAATGAAGCTAAAGAATTGAAACCGATATGATCTAGATCAAACAGAATTTCAGATTTGGTATCATAGTTAACGAATTTTATTTTTTTTTTGTCAGACGTTACATGAACATGTATGTGTGAATATAGACGAAACAGTACGTAAGAAAAACGTGTTTTTGATGTTTTTTACCTGTAAGCACGAATACATAATTTTAGGGACGCCTACAAGTCTTACACCAAGTCTTAAGGTCTTAAAAAATAGCATACACATTGCAATACAAGTGAAAACCCCTTTGCCTAAATAGTTCCCTAACAATCTTGTTCTAAGATGTTTTTGGAAATTTATTTCGCATTTGATATTAGATGGTCACCGAGAAGGTATGTGTGTTGAGTGACATTCGGAACACCAACATTCATAAAATGTTGATTTATAGACTATACACAAAACAATAAACACAAAGGGATCTCCTCTGGGTGTAATTCGAGGAGGACTGTAATATTTACGCTCCCTTCCACCAAGAGGGGTGAAATATGGGTTTACAGAACAGCTACTGCTGTCGCCGCCGCGCGCGCCTGCAAATGGGTCAGCTGGGAGGGAAATCAATACCAACCTTCCCGCAAGAAATACTTCTTGAGCAACAGGTTGCCGGCATAACCTTATACGTATGATTGTGTAGTTATGAAGCTGCCTATTTTCATTGTTGATGTTAAAGTAATTTAGTTCTAAATAATTTGTAGTTGATGATTTAAGGTTACAATGAGTTTTAGTTAGAGTTAGAGATGAAAATTAGTTGAGTAGCCTAGTTAAGCGCTAAACTATTAATAAGAATATAGCCTGTTTGATTCCGAAAAAATTCTGTATCTTTTTTTTAACAGGACTGTACTAAACTGGACCTAGCTGTTCTAGATCATTGGGCCAAGATAGCCGAAATCAGAAAAAAATGTTGCATTTGTAAAATTATCAAAACAACACAAATTGTTGATTTGATAAGCTCTTGTGGTGTTATATGCAAACTAGAATTAAACGGAAGTTTATCTATAAGGTAGTAATAACATGATCTCGGTTGAAGTAACCAACTGATCTTAGTTAGAAGCAGAACTATCATGCAACTCATTAAGCAATAATCGTTAATTCATGTTTGCCTTCAAATACTCCTGGTGTGTCGATTTTTTAATTTAATATAATTTGTGGTTACTTCAACTGTTGTTTGATTTTGAATTTAGCGAACAAAATAACCTCTGAACAAAATCTGTTATGTCCTGTAAATATGAAAACAAATTTAATTTAGTGCCAAAAAATAAATGTTGAATTAAAAAAGTTTTTGGGGAGTTCAAGTGAATTTAAATGTCATTAGAACAGTTATGTTGAAATTTGATTGTAACAACTCAAAACTTATATCATTTCATAAACATATTACATAACATGTCTATAAATTTGAACAACGACAACATTATTTCATTAATATTTTCCAATAGGTATTAATATTTAATCTAAAGTATTGAGTCTAGTTACAATTGGTTATATTACATTGATATTACAGTACGAACAAGTTGCGTTGAGTATGAGTTAGAATAACATTGACTATTCTTTGTTTGAAATTCATTGCTGATGATGGTGAGTTAATGTTGTTCAAAAGTTTATTGCGGACATTTTCTATCACGATGGTAAAAAATAATACTCAACGTTTCGGGATCTGGAATCTGATCCCGTTCTCAGGTGAAAAGGTTAACTGTAGATGATGTTTAACAAATTATCCAAACACATTTAGAATGGTTGAATGGAGATATGTTTTATTTTCACAAACCAATAGTAGAAAATATTTTTCAACTAAATAATTTTAGTATTTGTTTTTGAGATAGGGTTTTAAAACCATCGAGTTTAGAATCAAAACACTGGTTCCATTTTGTTTTAAAATCAGTAAACAAAGTTTAGGTACATGTCATACATGTACCAACCTGTAGATTGTTTAATAAATCGAAATATATTACCACTACCACTTTATGTACCAACTGTTTTGTACTGTAAAGTATACGTGTAATTATAGGTTTTAATGTTTAGTATACGTCTTATTATTCACACACCATAAATATTAATGTGTCACATTGAGTAGCAAAATTTTATTTAAGTAAGTATGTATGGTATTATTATTGTTATTTCATATGGTATGATTATTTTAAAACTTAGTATAATGTATCTTTGAAACCATACATAAATGTTACGAAATGTTTAAAATAATTAATTTGAATAATTAGGGTTTTAATTTTACTTCCCCGCCCAAAACGCCCGTAAGAGGAGAACATGTAAATTAAACCTCAAAGGAGTCGCAACTGCCGTTTTCCTGGTCTTTGTAAATTGAAATCTGAGTAATTTTATCGAGTTGTAAACGTGAACGCTCAAACTTTACAAATTCGTTTAACTAAAATGTGTTTACCATAATTTCCTTGAATAGTAAGTCACAGAAATGATGGTATTCTTGTATAAAAATTACAACTGATATGTTTTTTACCGAAAAATAAATCAAATTAATCTGGGGTATGTAGGTTAAATGTAACTTTTGTTTGGGGCACTTCAATCACCATTCGACCTTAGAGGATAGGAGTGTAAAAACGCTATAAACGAAGGAAACAAGGTCTCTGAAAGAGATTGGCTCTTGACGCTCAGACCTGTGAGCGAGGTTAGTTACTTTAAGCTTTAATAAAGAAATTATATTTTTAGTTTTTTTTATATAATAACTTAAATACGTCGTCTATTTAAGAGACGATTAGCGTTGTTTTGTAAGCCTTACAAGTAAAAAAAACTGACTTATGATTTATTTTCGAAACTGTAGTAAAATAAATTTTTAAAAATAATAATAAATATAATAAATAATAAAATATAATATAAAAAGATAAATTCTCTTTGGATGTATCAGAATTTAAGCAATATTTTAAGCAATTTTTTTGATATACGATTCCTCAAGTTACGACCCCAAATAACAATATTGATGTTGACTGAAATCTAGTTGCATAAACCTTTGGTAATGGTGGAAAAATTGGAAATATACGCAGCCCTAGTGGCCATTTAAGTGCGTTACACATCTTAAAAGCTATTCTGTGTCAGTACTGTTATGACTGTTATTGAAACATTTAAGT